TACAAGTACAAGTCGTGTATCTGCAAACATCCCGTCTAAAATTATGTATCTACCATTTTTGTCGGTAATTTATTTTTCAATCTTGAAATTTAATTTTGGATGAAAGAGAATTATGGTCCCTTTGCTATGATTTGTACCGTGATTAAAGCCAATTTCGCCTCCCTATTCTGCTCGCCAAGTGTTTTCGCATTCTTTTGACTGAAAGTTTCTTGCAAGAAGATGAAGGAGCTGTTTTGATGATCCAGCCACCTAAACACGGCGCGACGTTTTAGCGATTTGTTTAGTCCTCTGACATTTACTGATAGGCCTTTGATATCACAAAGATTAGTCCTTAAGAATTAAAGCAAAGGGTGTTACCACAGATCCCAGATGACCAACAAGCCGCTCATACGGTTCGACAGTTTTCACAGTTTCTGACAGATTAGACTGTTGAAATTTGCATTTTGGAGTTTGATTTTGCATGCTGATATAAAGAACATCCGATTTACATTCTAGATATGTTTGATTGTTTGATAGCATTTGCAAAACATGTGTGGAACGAAAACCAGGAGAAAAATTAAACGTACTTACATAAAATAAAACAAACAACAAAAAAATAACATTGACATTAAAAGGTCTGAAAAGACCTAAACGCGAAGGAATAAATTTAATTTTTCGCGTTTCAGACTGGCTTTTGGCTATAAAGATTATTTTGCGAAATACAAACGACCTTAAACAAACGTAGTTTTTCCTTGGCACTCCGAATAAACATAAACATTTATATCAAAATTTGATAAGCTCTTGATTAGTAGAAACAAAAAGGAAAGAAGAAGAAGGAAGAGCAATGACATCTAGACGAGTCTGATTAAACTTTGTGATTCAGCCTTAGTTGTTTCCACTCCATTTTTTTTTTGGAATTTGATCAAAAGTGTCACACCTTCCGTTTACAATAAGACGGTCTCCAGTAATCGTAGCTCTCGTACCCGCTATCTTTCGTGCTTCCTTCATTGCTGGTACTAATATCGTTTTTCTGATTTTCCGTACAGCTGGAGGCAGGTCCTCGGCAAGGCTATAACGATATATATTAATATATTTCTATTGTAACCTATTTCGTCGATTAGCTTCACGGGACGTCATTCACTACAAAGGAAATATTGTTTTCTCTAAAGGTAAATAAAATGAATGAGATATAGACTAGAAAAGGAAACAAAAAAGTAACTTTCAGCAGTTGAATCCTCCTACATCTGATAAGGCAAAGAAGAGAAAATTTCACCTGCCATATCGAATTCACACTATGTCGCTGTTAAAACCATCAGCAAGAAGGATTTCAGTGAAAGACTAAAGACCTGTTCTTCTGGCTCCAGCTTCATCCACGTACATTAACAAAACAGACCATGCTAAACAGCACGATTTTATATCCCATGCAAAGCTCTTTCAATCCTTATGAGTGGCTAGATGAAAATAGCGATGGCAACAGACCTTTCTGCTACAAACTTATTCTCCCATATGCCATCATTATTGCTATTTTATCACCGGTTACAGTGGTGGGCAATTCGGTGATTTTGGCGGCAATTTGGAAGAAGACGTTTGTGAAGACACCATTCCATATACTGCTTAGCGGATTAGCGTTCACTGACTTATGTACAGGACTCATTGCCCAGCCACTAGTTGCCACTGTCAGCTTGATGTACATCGTCAGGAAAGATCATGATTCGTTTACACTCATCATAGATACAATTGGCGTTAGTAGTGCCATCTACTTTATTGAAGTCACGGTTCTTCTCATAACACTGATGTCCATTGAGCGTTGGCTGTACATGTCTCGAAGATCCCTGGTTACATCGCATCGTGGATGTCTCACTGTTGTCACAATATTGATCGTTCCGATTCCTACCGTTGTTTTGCGGGTTTTAGCTAATGATAAACACAGCTACGACAATAGGTTGAGGGTAGCAATTATTGCCACCATGCTCACTTGCTATCTCACCACGTCTTTTGCCTATTTTAAAGTTTACCGAATCATTCGTCATCACCAACAGCAAGTGCAAGCAAACGAAGCTTCGCAGAATTATGCTCAGCAAGCAATAAACCTGGCAAAATACAAGAAATCTGTCACCACCATGCTATTTATCATAGCGTTACTTTCTTTTTGTTTCATTCCTTTTGTAGTTTCTAGTGGAGTCATAGTAAGTCTAGAAGAGATGAGTTCAGAAATATATATCGCCGATAGCGTGTCCACCATACTCATATTTCTGTCGTCTTCGCTCAATCCAGGCCTCTACCTGTGGAGAATGAAGGATATTCGCCATGGAGTGAAACAACTATTGTGTTGGGGAACCTAGAGAAAATGTCAAAGAAATCTTTCACCTCGATGACAGGATTGTATGTTTTCTTGAATGTGGTCTGGAAATGCGCAACATGGGTTAGGTTTTCTTGACAGAGTTTATACATTTAGGAATATTTTAACCGGATTGATTGATGAACAGGGCTTTAATTATATGTAGTGGAAATCCTTCGAGAAAGACGGTA